CTTGCACCTAAAATTCTCACATCAGATTTTCAGCCATTTTATTGGAATTATTGTATAAAAAAATTAAAATTAGTTATTTGTTGGTCATTATGATATTTAGTATTTGATTAATCTACAATCACAGTTTTATAATACGTAATAAGCTAAACTATTCTGCTCTATATTCTTCATTTTTCTTTTAACTTATTAGGGAAAAGTAGAGTCAGTTTTTTTACTCTGCATCTAATGTGGATACATTAACATTTTCTAATGACGAACCATTTCAACAATCTTATAGTGGGATTTTCATTCAAATATGGGTAAATTATTCTGCATATTCAGTAAATATATCCTGTCCTACCAAACTCAAAATAAAACTTGTATGTTTAATGGAGATAATTACTAATTATTATTAACTAATAACAAAGTTTGCATCTAGATGGTTTGGCAAGACTTCCTCACTTGATAACAACAGTTTTTGGTCTTTCAACTTTTTCCTGTCCTCTATTTAAAAAACTTAAGTACATCTTTGTTTGCAGTAAAACGACTTCCATTATGATACATATTTTAGCACATTTATTAGAAACTGTAATTAGGTGCAGTCTATGATAATAGGTAATGACTTATCCCATTCTCTTTCTGGTTTTTCTACAGCTCCAGGTAACTTCAGTGAACATTATGCACAAATTCATTATAACACTTTCTATGGTATGACTAAAATCCATCCGACAAATAAGAATAACAAAGAACAACAGATGTGTATACTTACAGATGCTTCACTTATTCTTATATCTAAATTGTTATTTGAAAAAGGAAAATATTAGTAACAAGTGAACAAACAACAAACATGTACATTTAAAGATTACATGACATATGTTACACATTTTTAACACTAGAAGTAACAGAGTTTGAAGTAGGGACAGAGCTGAATGAGAGATTAGTCAACTAATATTAATTTTCTTTTAAATTACATTTCCAGTAGAATAAATATATATCAATTCAATAATGTCTTCAATAAAAATAATTTTTACAACTACTAGAAGCTCTCATACTCGTGGTGTAAATGAATAAATCTGGAATGAAAATAAGACTACCACTGCCTAGTAGGTTTGATCCATTCTGGGCTTTATTAGCTGAAGGTTGTTGTACAAGTTGCACTTTGGAAGCAGAAAAGTAACATGGATGAAATATCCAGCACCTAGTGTTGGTTTATATACAGTGCCTTGCAAAAGTATTCTCTCCCCCCCCCCCCCCCAAAGCCCCCCCCTTTTGGCGCCTGGGCTTTCAACCATGAACCTTTCAAATGGGACTTTATATTTAGAATATACACAATCTACTCCAAACTGAGAAAGATATATAAAAATGCTGATATCACACAAGTAATTTAGATTTTAAAAAAAAAAAGTAGAATATTCTCAAC